CTGAATATTGATTTTACCAGAGTTGTATGAAAGAGTCCATATGATTGCAGAAATCCAATGGATAATGTCTAAAGGTTGATAAATCAAGAGATATGGTGGAAGCCTATTTCAGGCCATGGGAAGAGAAATACATGAAGGAGCATTCTGGCAAATTGAAAGCTCTGGGGGTGGTAGGGGGTATGAGCCATTGCTCTTTGATTATAAGCTTTATAATATTTGACATTTCAGATTCATTTTGGTAAAGAATAAATAATACATTTAAAAAAATAAGATACACTCATTCAAAAATGGAGCCATTTGGCATTCAAACGTGCGTCTTACAGCCCCCCGAGGACATCAGAGAACAAATAATGTTCGCTTCAGTGGTCTTGGATGGTCAAGAAAAGGTTTGATTTTGCTCTGCATGTTCTGCTTTAGAGAGACAGAGGTGATCCGTCTCCATCAAAATGCTGTGGGCATAGTTATATGGGGGAGAGTACTGATGTAGACTGTCCTCTCCCTATATGGGAAAAAGGGTTGTTCACCTCCCTTCCTCATCTCCCAGTCAGTCTCATCCCATGTCCAGAAGAAGGAAGGGCTGACTGGCCTCAGACTGACTTGACCTGGTCCAGAGCTCTTATCTTCATCAGAAGCCATGGATCTGCCACACTCTTTTCTGCCAGGCAGAAGGGACCTGCAGGCAGTTTCCTGCAAGCCCCTTATCCTCAGATGGTTGCATTGAAGTCAGTTAGTGAAAGTCACCAGTCCCCAGAGCAGATTCTTCTGTGGCAGAAATTAACCTCCCCAGGCCCAGAGGCTGCAGTGGTGAGTGGGAAGGACACAGGAGAGCGTTTCCTTTACTTGTTCTAATACTATAGAGACCCCAGTGTTTTGCAGTGGCTGGTATTTTCCTGGTTGGGTGTCAGTAAGCAGGGACAGCCAAATAAAAGTCACACTGACCAGTCGCCACAAGAGTTGCTTCAGAGTTTGTTAGCTGGTTTGTGCATTTTACTTGGTAATCTTTTTGTTATCAGGTATATGGAAGGGGGGATTATAGCATCACGTCCCAGGCTAGAATGAGGCTTTTTGTTTAAACCATGACATACCAAAGACTGTGTTTCCCAGGATTTTAGCGTATTAGAACAATTAATGCTAAATGATAATATTTTGACATGGCGTTATAAAGGAATGGGTGGCTCTTGTATCTCTGGTTATAAACCTTGAGCAGAGCTGTTGGGAGATTTTTTTTTTTTTTT